TTAACAGATATATTTTATTTACTACTGTCATTCCAAGTGATTGGTTGTTGTTTGACATCCCCGGTGCGGCTGCGCTTGATGTTCATGTTGACAAGGTGTCTACCTGTCTAGTACCCACTACCTCGTCCATACTGGCTCTAGGAGGCAGTTGGTCGTTGCTGGAGGGGACGGGGTGCACGGTTCTTGTGGCCCTGTTAGGATCAAGGTGTGGTTCCATGCACTCAGTGTGAAGCGAACTACGGTCCAACCACCGCCTTGCGTGCGCTTGTTTCCCAAATACGGCGTTTTTGTTTTTGCCTGTGAAGGAGTGTAGGCCGGCTCTGTTGATGAAACGTGGCTCCCATCCACATGCCTCCCGGTCTTATTCCTTCGGGTATACACTGGATATGGAGTATGTGGATGGAGGTGTGGGTGGTGCAGCGCAAGCCACCCATGGTCCCTCTGTAGGCGCCGGCGTCCTGTGGCGCAGTGGTCCCGAGTGACCTCTCTCATGGCTCACTAGGCCTGCCAGACTAAGGCACTCGCGACCGCATGTTCTACAGCACAATGCGCTCGATGTCGATGGAGTACAATTCATCGGTGCTTGCCGCTTCCGCAACTGCCGCTTCTTCTCTGCATGCATGAGGGATTTCTCCCGCACCTCAGCAACTGCCTTCGTGATTAGATCGCGCCATGCACGCCGATCAACCGCCTTCGATTCCCATGATCTGCAATCAAGATTAGAACGTGTGAGGCTCACTTTAATCATGTCCTGGTAACGTAACTTTGGTTTCCCCACGTGCCGCTTCCCAATACTCAGCTGACCGTACAAAAGTTGTTTCGGTATCAGCGTCAAATCCATACGGCTCACATGACCGAGCCATCTCAGGTGTCTCAGTAAAAGTATGCAGTCCACTGCATACATCCCACTTCGGCGCAACACTTCCGTGTCTGCAACTCTGGCGCCCCAACCGATCCGCAAAATTCGTCGCAGACACTGCTGATGGAACCGCTCGAGATATCGCACATCCCGCCGGTACATCGTCCACGTTTCACTGCCGTATAGAAGAACGGACAGTACCATGGATTTGTACACCATCAGCTTCGTGCCAATGCTAAGCTGATGGTTGTTCCACACTCGGTACTCTAGTTTCCCGAATGCCGCTGCCGCCTTCGACACGCGATTACGCAACTCAACGTGTAGCTGCTGATCAGTCGACATCACACTCCCAAGGTAGCAGAAGCGGGAGGTGGTTTCCAATACTTCAGCACCAACGCTGATTTGTGGCAATATTGAAGATTGCACCTCCGGTGAAGGCTGAAAGAGACAGACAGTTTTGCTTGTGTTGATGGTGAGCCCGAATTTGGCCGCTGTCGAAGCCAGAGCACTAGTCATGTGCTGCAACTCATCCGCGCTGTGTGAAAACAACGCACAGTCGTCAGCAAACAGCAACATACGGATAGTTGTCTCACAGACTAGAGTTCTCGCACCGAAACGACGGATGTTCATCAACCCACCATCAATACGGTGCTCCACACGAACACCGTAAGCACAAGCCGCATCAAAAGCACAAGACAACATTGCATGAAGATAGATATTAAACAGGGCAGGAGCTAAGACACAGCCTTGCTTCACACCAGAGACAACTGTAAAGTCATCAGAGGTCTCTCCACTCAGCTGCACCCTCGCTCGCATACCACTGTGCAGACATTCAATTAAACTTACAAACTTACGCGGGCAACCAAACTTACCCAACACCAGCCACAATGCCTCGCGGTTCACCGTATCAAATGCTTTGGTGAAATCAACAAAAAGCGAGTACAATGGCTGGTGTCTTTCTCTGCACCTCTCTTGCAACTGACGAGCCGCAAACACCATATCTATAGTGCTGCGACCCGAACGGAATCCACACTGCTCTTGCGCCACGTTAGGTTCCACAACCTGACTCACGAGGCGATTGAGCAGGATTCGCGCAATCACCTTGCCCACACAACTCAGCAAGTTGATGCCACGATAATTCGTGCAACATTGCTTGCTACCTTTGCCCTTGTACAGTGGTAGCACAAGGGCATCCTTCAGCTCAGCAGGCACCTCCTCCTCAATCCACACGCGTTGCACCAAGTGGTGCAGCGCAGTCAACAACGCGGGTTCACCGTGTTTCAATACTTCAGGTGGGATCCCGTCGGCTCTGGCACACTTGCCGTTTCGCAGCTGAGCAAGTGCTCTCTGCGTCTCATCCAGTGTCGGTGTATCCGCCAGATCCGCCTTCACATCGTGCTGCTTCAGGCCATTCAATGTAGGCCAGTCGATCTCTGAACGGTTGTTCAAGAGACAGTCAAAGTGTTTCCGCCAGACCTGCATTATGTCTGCAGTCTGGGTGCAGGTAGCGCCTGAACTACCATCGATCAGTGTCCTCAGCGGCTCCAATCTCGGTCCATACACCGCCTTCAAGAAGTCAAAGAATTCCTTGTGTTGACGGCGTTCGGCGTAGCATTCCATCTGCTTCGCCTTCTCCGTCCACCATGCATTTTTAATGAGACGGAGCTCTCGGGTCAGTCGCCGTCGAAGTTTGCGAAACTGACTACTTTTCGCCAAGTCACTGGGGTCTGCCACATGTGCAGCAAATGCTGCATTCTTCTCTGACATCAATGCGCCAATCGTCACATTGTTGTCATCAAACCAATCAGGCCGCTTACAGTTTGCGCGCCCGATGGTCTCCTCGGCAGCAGCTGTCACCTGATCGCGAATGTGGTGCCACAGGTCGCCCACTGTGGCTATACAGTCCACATCACCACACAGGCGTGCAGCCATCGCCTTCTCCAGCTCAGTACGTTTCGCCACAGTACCGAGGGAGAGAATGTTAAATTTACGCCGATTCACGGCGGGAGTGCAATACATCGATTTATGAAAATATATGTACAGTTTGGTCCGAACCAACTTGTGATCAGTGCCACTCTCAGCTCCACGCAGTACACGTGTCATGCGCACTTCACGCATATCACGCTGACGTACGATGACATAGTCGAGCAGGTGAGCGTGACCACTCCGTGGATGCGTCCAAGTTGCTATTTCACTCGCACTCAGTGCAAACCGAGTGTTCGTGATCGTCAGGCCGTGAGTGGCACATAGTGAGAGCAGCCTGTCACCGTTCGCATTCGCTGAACCAATGCCATGCGCACCGATAACATCTGTCCACGCTGATGCATCACGCCCAACGCGCGCGTTGAAATCACCCAGCAGAAATAGTCGGTCGCTCTTCGGCACAGACCGTATCACGGAGGATAGCTCAGTGTAGAACTGATCACGCATGTCATCAGGATAACACATGGTCGGACCGTACGTGCTTATGAAAGTAGCAAACTTACCTCTTCCGAGTCGTAGGCGAACAGTCATCAGTCGCGCGCTGATGCCCGTTGGTTCACCCACCAGCTGGCCATTCAGGCGGTCGGATATTGCAAATCCGACCCCATGTTCACCTGGTGCTGAGGCGGCGTTCCCCACCCAGTAGAATGTGTAGCCAGCACTTGCTTCATGTAACTTACCTTGCTCAGCGAGCCGAGTTTCACTGAGCGCCGCAATATCGATGTGGTAGCGCGCCAGCTCCATTGCGACCAGTGCAGTGCGTCGATCCGGGCGCTCACTGGAGTTCCGGTCCAGTAGTGTGCGCACGTTCCAGCACCCGATGCTGAGTGCTTTGCGCGCAGGCAACGATTACATTGGTGGGCAATCGCACGCGAGGTGGTCGTTGTGCTACGGAGGTTTGCTTGAGGGACTCCACCCGGAGCCTTTGGCTCAATAGCCTGATCCACAAGGCAGTGGGTGGTTTGGAGGTTTGCTTGAGGGACTCCACCCGGAGCCTTTGGCTCAATAGCCTGACCCACAAGGCAGTGGGTGGTTTGGAGGTTTGCTTGAGGGACTCCACCAGGAGACTTTGGCTCAATAGCCTGACCCACAAGGCAGTGGAGAGCAGATCCAGCTCGGGAATGTGATTGCAGAGACAGATTGGGATCTGCTTGACGGTCGTCACACGCAGCCTTTGAGGTTCTGGAACAATTAGCATATGTTTTGCGATCGTAATTGGATACGCACCTGCGACCACGGCCAGACGCAGGTGGGTTTTTGGCGGGTTTGCACCTATTTGACCAGGGGCTGCCTGGCTTGAGGCGGGCAGTAGCAAACCATTGAACACCCGGAGGTGTCCTCCCACCGTCAAAGACAATGCGTGGCACTCGTGCTCTACGCCAATCGAGCATTGAGAATATCACCCGTAACCTGTTGTCTCCCATGGCTAGGTTTTACGGGAAGTGGGCCATCGACCACTTCCTAACCTCGGGAGAGGATGGACTAGGATACTGCCAGGGCGCCCACACCTGACAGGAGAACGACTCGGGTCCTCAGCCAAAGCCTTCGATTAAATGAACAACCGAAAGGCAGCGGGTCTAGCACATGGTCAGTTAGCTGACTCATGCGGATTGGTGTCCTGGATCTTAGCAGGGAGAAACCCAACTCCCACCCAGCGGTCGCCACGTGGAGGCGCCCAGGACATGAGAATATGGCGCAACAGTAGCAGCAATGGGTAGACCATCTGTCAGGATCTAGCCACCACCAGCCTCAGCGCACCATAGGCTCTCCCGCCTAATGTGAATATATATATATATATATATATATATATATATATATATATATATATATATGTATTATATGATTTTTTGGTCTGGATAATATAAGGACTTACGACTTTGGACAAGTTTGCTATTGCAAAATTACATTGTCAGCCTATCCATGGACGGGCTTATATTTGTTAATATACGGTAATGGTCATTAAAGCATAATAGCAGAACAGCGTTCACCACTATTTCGCAAAAATGTGGGCTAGTGGAGAAAGTAAAAGAAAACAATGCAGAAGTAGTATGAAAAACAATCTTAATGGGCGTTCGAAGATTGACACTAATCACACGCATGCACCGGATAGGGGAACATATTGTCTACCGGTTGTGGAAGTAAAACTTGTGAGACTCACAGAGAATCCCAGCTGAGCAGGACCATTCCACATCCAAGAATGATTGAGGTGATGGCGCAGGCGTGTACGAAAATGATAGCCGGATTGAAAATGAGGTGAAGAGAGACAGAGGAATCTTCTTTAAGAGTAACCACAGCAGATGAGTTCAAAGAAAGCTGAAATGGAAGGGGAACAACAAACCCGTAAAATTTGATAAGATGGGGCACCGTGGTTTTGAATCTGAGAACTATGCGATAAGGCAGAAGTGGTCTGCCGAAGTAGAAGATGCTTGGAATACTTACATGAATAAGTCGTTTGAAGCTAACCGGGTCTAGTTCGACAAATACGAATTTCTTGTTGGGGGAAAGCGGAAGGCGTGTCAAATTTTTCGGAACTCCGGAGTCCAAAATGAACAATGCACGATGGAAAATGCGCGTTGCAACGGTAACATGCTTGGCGCGGAGTAGTACTGCTTTTTCCAAAGAATCTGGAGAGCGCGTTGGCAGTGGTTCTGGAGGCATCGAGTTTTGCCAATTTACCAAGGGCTAGAGAATAAAAGAGCGAGATGGACTGAAAAACGAGTATTATAAGGACAAAAGAAAAAACACCAAAGTATGTATGTGGTCAGCTGCAAGCGGACTGTTGTGCAACTCCGTAAGCACACATCTGAATTGCACATGGTCATTATTATTGATTGGTGGAATAAACCCGGGACAAAGAGATCGAGTGGCTTGAACCACTGAGTCCCCTACAACCGCTTCATTAACGCAGTAAAAAGACAGGTTGCGATATGTTAACATTTGGATTGCTAGTCAGTCGCTACGCAACACAGGCGGAACAGAACACGCTTAGTAACATGGATAAACAGATAAAATTGATGTGCTCATCAAGAGAAGGACCGGTGGCACACTGCAGCGCACTGTGTACAGAAAAGCGACCTGGGGGGGGGTAATACCTACATTTTTTCTAGCTTCGCCCCAGTTGCACACAAGCGCGGCCTCGCAAAAACTCTCTTCTACAGGGCCAGGCGGATTTGCAGTCCGGAATTGCTCAAGGTTGAAGAAGATTTTTTATACCGGACTCTGCTATCCAATGGGTATCCGGAGAAATTCATTCAGACCCATAGCAGACCCCCCCCCCAAGGAGAAGCTGCCAGTACAAACAGCGGAGAAGGATGTTTATTTGTTCTTACCGTGCAAGGGGGATCATGTGGCAAATGAAGTTGGTCACAAGCTCAGGTCCGCCCAACTACCACTTATCCACACTACACGAAGAATCCCTCTCCACAGCCGTCCGAGTAGCTCACCAATCAGTTCGGCCTCTAACATTATCTACCAGTTCACTTTCAGTTGAGGTGACACTTACATCGGCAAGACTGGTCGCTGGCTGGCTCAAAGGATAGCGAAACACTTCCCATTGTGGCTAAGGCAGTTGCTGTCTCGCCAAAGCGGAGCGGAGCAAAGAATGAACCAGAACCCTGCCTCGTCTATCACCAAACACCTAATGACGACTCGTCACCAGGTGAACCCATTCGATTCATTCAAGGTGCTATTGCGCAACAGGAATCCGACGTTGTTGGCTATAGGGGAGGCGCTACTGAAAAGATTGAATTGTCCCGTATCACGTGCCCAGAAACAACTGAGGCAATCAATTAGATTGCCTTGGACCTGATTACGCCATTCACATCAATTTTATCTGCTTATCTATGTTACTGAGTGTGGACCGTATTTATTGCGTATTTTGTGCTACCTGTATTGCGTAGCGACTGCCGAGAGCAATCGAAATGTTAGCAGATCAAGTTGCGTCATCTAAGCAACCGGCTCGTCACCCCACTGCCATGTGATTCAAACTAAGGAGCTTAAAGTTGGACGTGGGTATCCTACAACGAAAACCCTCTCTTGAGTTGAGCAGTAAAAGGGCATCAATAGGCGACGACACCTCACCGTCAATGAGCTTCATTCCTATCAGTTCGTCTTCCAGAATCGGACGCCACTAATTTATTCAGCTACACCAACCAAAAAATAACATTCTCTCTTAACTCCAGGGTAATATCTTGAATTGTCTTGCACCAACCACGTAACATACCGGATTGGTCCAACAATGATCATCCGTACACTTGCACGAAGTTGCACTGTGTTGCGCTTCCGACTCAGACGTAAACATGCAGTGCCTGAACTACTATTCGACATGCCACCCCGGATCCCAGTGGAGGTGTCATCATTCGTTAGATTTTCGATGTAGTGAGTGGATAGCTGCATGCAACCGTCTCAAATTCGCACTTCCAAAATTTAAGAACTAGTGTCAACAGACACGCCGCCTTTTAATTGTTCCGGTGCAACACTCCATCAACAGCAGTTCAGAAGGTGAACTCCTTTAGTTATGAGTTCTTAGAGTTTAATCGAATGGCCAGAAACATGACTCTGTTGCAATTGCTGCATGTAATGTGAATGATAAGGTAAACCGAGTAACAGAGACAAATAGAACACCGTTTGGAGTAGGCGCTACTTGATTTGGAGATTGTGTTCTGCAACCGTTTGACGAGAGGAATCTCTACATCGGTAGCACCACCTTCCAGTACGAGCGAATGCAGTAAGCCATATGGCGCCTACCGAACGTGATGAAGAGTTGGATGTAATCACATAGTACCCGGTGACAAACTGCGCATGTCAATAGTAGATCGGATTCAAACCATGTCTAGAAGCGTGAGCCCGTACTGTGTACTCTTCCAGCTCAACGGTGACGATTGGAAATAGGAGATTAATTCGGTAACATGGAACCGGAATTAAAATACCTGAAATAAGGGATCAAGATGCGCAAACGGAACGCAGATCGAAATCACTTCCGATATGTTATGAAAAAGATAAGACTGAGACTGAGAAAGGTTTCTGTATAACTCTATCGAATTACGAAAAATCAAAAACATTTAGTTCTGAATCATCCGCAGTTGTGTCTGGACGGTTAATCGTTTATCGTTGTTGGGTGAGGAATTTGAACTAGTGTCATTATTTCCGGGCATACAATATCTTCTTTTGGCATTGTATGTGCATCG